TGAAAAATATTGTTTATGTTCATAGATTTCACATAATCCTTTTCCCTTTGTTCTTCTTCTTTTCCTTTCCCTCTTCTCTATTCAGAAAGCGAGTAATGGCGCTATAGCCATAAGTCATAAAAGGCTAGGACAAGAGTTAGTGCTCATGTCCCAACCAAATGCTTCCAACGACCAACCAATCATATAATTACCAAAATCGGAACGTGCGGTACGAAATGTCCACGTTTCATCCATTTATTGGATTCTGAAGCATCGTGTTTAAATCTTCGATGTTTTCTGAACCATTCTTCTTTTTCTTCTCCGCATTTCAAGCTTATTGCATATCGCATATTAGCTTATTGCGTGCTCTCAACTTAGTATTCTAGATGAAGTGCACAGTTATTATTTGAGAGCTTTCGATGCCTATACCATTTTTGCATTGATATAATTGTGTGGCAAGTCCAATCATACTTCTATGCCCAGGGAAGTCGAGAAATTTTCCAACCCGAAAAATTCCTAGACCGGACCGGGAATTGAACCCAGCCACCTCCAGCAAGGTCTGGCTTTGTAGCTGCGCCTTTACCGACTGAGCTAAGGGAGGCCCCAGTTTACTTTCTGTATCATCTTGCCCCTTAAATGCTGCACAGTAGGCCTGGCAGTTTTTATATGTGTAACGCATCTTCGATGTGAAACATATATCAAATAGACAAGAAAAATTATGTAGGTATATATATCATTTTCCTGGATGCTTTCATGAACTGGCTGTGTTGGTGTTAGATTAGATTAGATTATATTAGACTACTAGATTCGTAAATGGCAGCCCTGTGGAAATTATTTTTGGCTTTCCACAATTCTGGATTTTTTACATTGTAAATATGAGATTTTTTGTTAAATTGTGTATTGTATAAAACTGAAATTTTATATTGCCGATGGATTCATTATTCTTTTAAAGATAAGCTTTAAGTTATATAATTGGTATTTGTTTGGCAACCCTTTCTAACATGAGAGGTTTTTTGGAGTTTTGTTGTTCTAGCAATGTTTTGCACAGTAAACGCAGCTTGACATATAATTAAGACAAATCAGAATTAAAAAATAGGAGTATTTCCTTCTTTCAAATTTGGGTAGAATCCACCCAGACCGGTCAAAACTTAACCTACTCAAATAAGGGAAAGGAGACTGCCCCAGCGTAGAGGTTAGCATCCATATCTCTCACGCTAAAATAAAAAGTTCTAATCTCATCTCCAGACAAGCCACGAATGACCCAAGAGTTTAAATGTAAATATAGTAAAGCAAAGCAAAATAAGCCTGTAGGCAAAAATGATGAATTGAAACAATATTTGAATAATCATGAATAGAAGTTTTTTAAACGACGTATGTACTATTATAATTTGAGAAAAAATAAATAATGGAAAGATAATGTTAATGCTTAATTAATACAGGATGTTCAGTTATTTTTTTTGCCATATTTAATGAGGTAAAACATGCTTTTGAAAAACATATCCATGTCACCTTTTTACTTTGAAAAGTCCTTTGGAACATTTCACGGGATGGCATAGAATTTGTCTTATCAAAATATCCCAAAATGTCCACAGTGTTCCATAAAAATATTCAGTCAATTTTTGGAATTCACTAGCCCATACTAATAATACTTAATAATGCTCACCGATTCTTCACTATACAACCATAATTCTATTCAATATTATTTTCTACTGTTCCTCAAAATTTCCTTTAGAATTAAAATAGTTTGAAATTTTTGTTTAAGAATTATCTTGATATTATGGTAGGAAAGCTCTTAAAAAATTTGGAGAATTCTCCTCAGCATAACCTGAAAGTAGATACTGTAAAGTCTGGAACGTGCAAAAATTGGTCCACTTCAAATTCGTATATTTCTGTTAAAAATGCATGCAAAAAAAAACCTGAAATGCTGCATTTGGAAGTTGAGTGTAAATATATACAATGGTTGCTATGATGAATTTTCACCGTTTGCTCTCCAGTTTTAAAAATGACGTCCAAGCAAGAGGAGCAGCATGTTAAAATTTTGCTCGCGCAGCAAGAGAATCCGACGTTCTCACACGCCAAGTTGGCAAAATTGCTGGATGTGGCCAAATCGACCGTGACAAACGTTTTAAAAGTGTTTGAAGAGCGTCTGTCGACCGCCAGGAAGCCTGGAAGTGGTGGCAATCGTAATCCGGACTTGGCAGCGACGACGTAGAAGGTGGCGGTGAAATATAAGCGGAATCCTAAGATCTCCATTCGGGACGTCGCTGGCAAGCTCAATGTCTCCCATACTACTGTGCAGCGGGCCAAGAAACGAGCCGCGTTGTCGACGTTTAAGAAGGTGAAGGAGGCGAACCGAGATTACAAACAAAACGCGTCGGCAAAGCAGCGGTCCCGAAAGCTGTATACTAATCTGCTCACAAAGTTCGACTGTGTCGTCATAGATGACGAAACTTATGTGAAGGTGGATTTCAAGCAGCTTCCGGGACAGGAGTTTTATACCGCATCAGGAAAATGGAAGGTGGCTGAAATTTTCAAAACCATCAAACTATCGAAGTTCCTGAAAAAATATCTCGTCTTGTAGGCCATATGCAAGTGTGGTCTAAAAAGTGGCATTTTCATTACTACGGAAACCATCAATCAAGAGATCTACGTCCAGAAGTGCCTGGAAAAGCGGCTGCTACCATTCATAAAGCAACATAATAGACCTGTGCTGTGCTAGCCGGACTTGGCGAGCTCTCACTATGGGAAAAAGGCAGTCTAGTGGTACGATGCGAACAACGTGGTTGTGGTACTCAAAGACCACAACCCTCCCAACAGCCCAGAACTCCGTCCTATCGAACGGTATTGGGCCTTGGTCAAACGGAATCTAAAAAAAAAACTAATAAATCCATGGAAAATGAGTAATAGTATAAATCTAACTGGCGTTTGGCGGCGAATAAGGTCGATGAGACCACTGTGCAAAATTTAATTGAAGGGGTTAAGTGGAAGGCACGGCAGTTCGAATTTGGCAAACCAAAAAAATAAACGAACATTTTTTCCTTTAAATATATGAATTGAACTACCAAAAGAAAAATAAGAAGATTTTTGTGATATGAATTTTGACTGAAAGAAACGTTTTTTTTTTGTCGACCAATTTTTGCGCGTTCCAGTCTTTACTTGCAACGGAACGGTCCGCAGCAATCAGAATCCGCATATTTTACGATCTGCATTAAATATTGCAACGTAAGCACCTGATAGACCATTCATTTATTATTGATATGTTCTAAATCCTAATGATAGGGGAAATGGCTCTAATGTTGGCCTATGGATCTAAGATTGGACCCATCGCTAAAAATCTGTTATTTATCTATTTTATCTATATAAACGCGTCATTGAGCCGGTACTAATGGATATTTTTGGTCGCTATTGAAAATTTAGTCGATTGCTGAATTTATATATGGGCCCAAATTAGGGGCATTTAGGCCGACATCCATTTCTCCTATGTAATAAATCTTAGCCACAAACGAAAGAGCGATTTTTATTTTCTTATAATAATCTTATTCTACCGTTCATTATGCCCCGATTCCACAAAATGTAAATACTCTGCTTTAACATCGAAACCTTCATTATGGATCCTCAAATCACCACAAACGGGTCAGACTAGAATTTTCAAAGTTTTTTTTTATCTAGCAACGCCTCGTCAGTTCTTCATCAATGAGTATTTTTCATTGTATTTAAATAAATTTTAAAAAAATTCTTAATTTTTTATGAATGTTACGCATTACATTACTGCTCTCCACCTCAACAAACTGTGTAACAAATTATTACACTTTTTTAAACTCCTTTAAACCTTCCCCCTCTCGCATTTTGTATTTTGTGAACCTTAAGCAAAGCAATCACTATCGTAAAAATACCTGGTTCAATTGGAGTTTAATGGAAGTTTAGGCATTTACGAGGATGTATACGTTTATCCCTAATATCTTTTCACATAGTAAAATACACTTCAGTATGTTTCATCTGTGAATGTTAATAACATAGAAACCTTTTTAGTAGAAGATCAACAGCTTTCAAACCAGCCGGCAGACAAATCTCACCTAATTAGCATATCAGTTCATCTTTTTTGGAAGATCCCGAGTAACACAAATTAATAGAATTATGTTGAGTAAACTGCTTTACAACCAAAACCAGTCATATAAAGGTTATATAAACTGATATAGAACATGTGTGTTGCTTGGGATGCGATATTGCCATCGAAACAAACAACATGCCTTCTGAATCAAAAGCATCATAAATTCTCGATTAATTCAGCGTGCACGTCCCCAATCAGTTGTAACAATTAAAGACATGTATTGCAGCACAACCTAAAAAGCAGAATGAATGGAACAGGTTTCCACTATACGCCCGATCAGTTTTGAAGCGATCATGACAGAAACCTGATTGTGCGACAGAGTAAATTGGAGGCTTGATTCCCTCCAAGGAAATCCGATACTTTTCTTTCGGGTTCAGATATTGCGGCGCCAGCACTAAATTTTGGAAATTTGACTTTTGACTTTCGAACTTACTTCCGACCTTCCTTTCCCGGTTTAAGGAAATCATTTCTTTAAGATTTTTGATGTTGCTATTTTTTGTACATTCATCAGCTCTTTTGCAATGTTACCAGTCGTGTCGGAAGGCAACTCATCAGCGTCATAAATATAATTTTTATCTAAATGCACAATAATACAACTTTTGCTTCATTTTGGTGCAAAACTAGTTTAAGGTCACTCTGTGATCGCCACTGGGAACATGAGAAAGCAGTCAGTGACCGCGCGTCGCCTCAATGCCGATCGATGGCATGCAGTAGTATGAATGAACCAAAATAAACTGCGTCACTATGTTACGAGTGATAGTAACAGGGGGCTTGCGAGGACATCGATCCCTGCCTGACGTTTACATATAGGTTCTGAGAGAAAGTGAAACACACCCCTCAAGGATGGCTGCAATTTTGGAGATTTTTAGCAAAAATAGGAGCACTATATAAACAGATGATGGTGATCCTGGAGATCATTCTCAGTTTACGAGAGCATCGTTTTACATTACAGCAACACAAAATGGCATTCAAAGTAAGATTTAGGCCAATTGTGAAGCACAATATTTGATTTAATATTTCCCCATTTTCCAATTTATTTCATCAGTTTGTCCTTTTGGCGACACTGCTCGCTGCCGCTAACGCTGGAGTCATTGCTCCACACGGTTATGCCTCTTCTCACCAATCGATTGAACATCACCATGCTGCTCCAGTCCATCATGTTGCTTCTGTTCATGCAGCTCCCGTCCATCACGTGGCCGCCATTCACGCTGCCCCAGTTCATCACACCATCGTGAAGGAAGTCGAGCACCACGCTCCAGCCAACTACGAGTTCTCCTACTCTGTCCATGATGAACACACCGGAGACATCAAGAGCCAGCACGAGACCCGTCACGGAGACGAAGTCCATGGACAGTACAGTCTGATCGATTCCGATGGCCACCACCGCATTGTTGACTACCACGCTGATCATCATTCTGGATTCAACGCCGTTGTCCGTCGTGAACCAACCCACGTGAAGGTGGCTCAACCTGTGCACAAGGTCATCGCCCAGCCAGTGCATGTTGCAAGCCACGCAGCTCCAGTTCATCATGCTATCATCTCGCACCACCATGCTGCTCCAGCTGCCTACGTTTCCCACCAACAGTCTGCTCCAATTGTGCACTCTCACAGCACCCATCATGTTGCTCCAGTTGCCCACGTTTCGCACCACCATGCTGCTCCAGTTGTACATACCCAAACCACTCACCATGTTGCTCCAGTTGTCCATGGCAACCACCATGTTGCTCCATTCGCGCATGCTACCATCTCGCACGTTGCTCCGGTTACCCACTTCAGCCATCATGATGGACATCATGCTACCAACCACTATAGCCATTACTAGACAAATATATACTATTAGTATCCGATGGACCTGATAATGTAACATAGTGAAATGTTGTTAGAATAAAATCACATGTTATTATATTGTAAATACAACACAATATGGCGGAAGATTGCTTCGAGCTAAATCAATACTGACTCCATCTTCGAATTATCAACATGGCCTAATCTGTCCCTTTTAGAATTCACGCACTGCATGATAAAAAGTTAGATGGGTTGTGGCAGACACACTGACTCTGAGTAAGTGCTAACCAATCATAAAAGCGTTGATTGTAGCTCTCTGAAAGATTAATGGAGTTAATAAACTCTTCTAGTAACATACAAGTATAAAATATCATCATAATGCCGCGGATGCACTTGGATGACAAACTATGAGCATGAGCATTATTTAAGAAATAATTTAGAGCACTATACAACAACTATACAAAAACTATACAAGTGTGACCATGGATGTGCTCATAATTTATTATACAAATAATGTTCATGTTCATAGTTTGGCATACAAGGGTTTCCGTGGCACAACATCCAATGATTTTAAACTTCCACCTCCAATGTAGAGTGTGCAAAGCGAGTTCAAGAGAAAACGTCAAACAAACCATTTGTTTATATCAGAATATGGATTGTTCACAATGCAAATTAAGGCATTTTTCAGTTTGCGGCGGTAATTGTTTTGGTTTATGATTTTCCACAGATCTGAACTGATTTGTATCTCCACTATTCACACAATACACACAATAAATCCAGAAGATCATAACCACTAAAGCACTAGTCTAATATTCAATTTTCCTCAACAAAAATATTCCTGAGCACTAGCAGGATCCTTGCAAAATGATACAGAATTAAATTTTTCAACTGTAGATCATGTTTTGGAGCATCTCATACAAATAAGTTTATCAGGAATAATGATAGTGGCAAAAATGTCTGATCACAACCCTTTTGTTTTGTTGATTACTTTATTTCTACAGGCTCAATCGAATAAACTTTACAGAACCAAATTATCATTTGAGTTATACATTATTAATGACTTAAATCTAAAATTAAAGGATCTGAACCGATTACTTGTGGTCTTCTCGAGGTTAGTGAATGACAATTGTATTGATGGAGATAGGCAGAGAAGCAGATTTAGAAAATGATTTATGATTTAAAAAATTCACTATTTCTAAAACATCTACTAAATCCTATCAACGTCATATCAGCTTTGTAAGGGGGAGGTAGCTCATCGATTCTTCCGGTTCGCCTCCTAGCATCGTGAAGGTACCAGGCGATAACCAGGGTAGTTGATCGATAGCTCGATGACGTATTTCGTTGGCGTCTGCTGAAATTCTCATAGCAGGCGTTGACGATGGGACATTGTCGAGTTGTTGAATAGCAACTATCGTGGTAACTCACCGATTACCTGTCGATCTGCCAAATTTGGAAAGACGTCTGCATTGAATTGTCTCATATAATAATATTCCGCCCACTATATCACAAGAAATTGCGAGTAGCTGAGTGGAATGGAGTGGAAAGCTCAAGCTAAAGCTCAACGTTGTATCAGCTTTGTAATTAAACAATTATTACAGAAACAAACATATGTTTTTTTTTCAAACAACAGTCTTTTTGACGTTCTACTATTCACCACCAGATGTTGAATCGATTGCTCAGTTTCTATTAAAAAGGCGTATAGAACTCACTTGGCAGCCTTTTTAATAGCACCTACGTATTGATACAATTTAATGTATTAAATTTTGGATTTTTGAAAATTAATTTAAAAAGTAACTTTTTTGTAGTTCTATCGAGAGTCTCGTCACTGTATGCGAGTCAGGTTGGCAAATAAGCCGGGGAAAGCGGTGATAATGTGTCCGTCGCGAGTTTTGGTGATGCTTCGATGACCGACGTTGCCGACGATCCGAATAAGAGAATTTACGGCTTGCTATTAGATATTTTTGCAAATAGTGTCAGATAGCAGACATGAAGCTCAAGTGGAGGTGCCGGACATAGGTGTTATATCCTAGACAAATGGTAAGTTTGAAATTCGCTGTTGTCATCGTCGTAGGCACCGTCGTAGTCGCTGTCGTAATCGCTGTCGTAATCACCGTCATAGTCACCGTAGGCATTACCGTTAGTATATTTAAAATTAACCATCAGCTGCTGAAACTATATGAATTATCGCGTATTTCTGTTGATCATTACATACCAAGTGAAAACATAATCATATTTTGCCGTGGAGTGTTGTGGTTTTGAGATGCTCGATAACCATAGAGGGATCGGTTTTGCTTAATGAGCAGAATACCATGGGTTTAATCCCAAGCTCTCCCATAAACTACCATCGTTGGGTTCTGAGAGCATAAAGCGCATTTAATAACCAGTGGTTGAATTGTTTAAACCATGAGTTTCAGAAAGGGTGTATGCGTGAGCTAGTTTGGTAGACATTGTTGGCTGCTTTCAGAGACGATAGTTTTTGTTTAACTGCAGAAGGATATAAATCGTCGTGAGTGCGAATTAATCTCCACGACTATCGAATGTCATTGGAGTAGTCCTCAGAACCGGCCCAGTACCCCACGCGTTCTTATTTACTTCGTTCCGTAGCTTATTAACTAAAGTATCGTACCAAACGTATAATTGACTTGTTAACTCTGAAATCATGGATTTATTTGAAGTTTTCTGCTCGATAGGCCCAAAATGGGCGATTAGGCCGAAGTAGTTCTCTACCCTATGTATCTATAAACATGATTTGTAATTAAAAAAAAAAAAAAAAAAATTTGCTGCTTCACCACCAGCGTTGCCAGTATTCCAGATTTACCTGGATTTTTCAGATTTTAAATCGTCTTGCCAGATACACAGACAGATAACGTGTATTTCCAGATGTTTGAATATGTTCCAGATTTTTTTAAAGTATGTTGCTTTAAAAATATCACTGCAATTGATGGACCTACTAATCAAAAAATAAAAAGCCAAACCTACTGCTTTTATTATTAAAGGCCATCAACGTTGGACACTACTGCAACATCGTACATGGAATTGTTACAAAATATTTGCAATGGGTTGCAGAATCATGAAAATTGAGACATTTTCTAAAGATTATTGCCAAAATAAAATCTTAACATTTTCTTAAATATCGGGCTGAGATTTTTACTACATGGATTTTTTGTTAAGATTTTGGCTATAATTTTTATTTTTTAACCCTTAATCAAAATTTCAAAATGAAAGATTTTTTTTTTTTTAATTTTGGAATTTAAAGAAATCGTAAAAAAGTTCTCAGCATTGAAAACAAAAAAATAAGCTTTGGAAAATTAGCAAGGCTTTTGAATCTAGACAACCACCAGCACTTTGCAGTGCGTTCGTTAGATTTTTGAGTATAATTCATAAGATTTTTAAGGAGCATTTCAAGGTACTTCTAAAAAAAAGTTTACATTGAAATGTGAGGCAAATTCCTTGTGAAACCAAAGGAGAATTTCATGTTAATTCTGAGTAGAGTTGCATCCATCTTTGTGGGCCTCGTGGTTGTGCGGCGTCACCCGTCGTTCAGGCGTATTGTGAGTGCCACGAAATGAGAGTTCGATTCCCGCTACAGCCGGTGTAACTTTTCGCCATCTGAAAATTTCCCTACTGGTGTGGTGTGTTGTCCAGTTTTAAGTATGCAGTCTGTGCAACCTCTGGTTAAAGATGGTGTCAATTGTCATTTGAAAACTCTGATGACAATTGAATGAAGATTTTGTGAAGAAGGAAATAGCTAGAAGATAAATTATAGAAAATTCTTAAGAGATTAAACTTAAGGAGAATGCTGATACGAGTCGTGAAAATAATTTCAATTGAATTCTGACCAATGTTTCTATGGAGACTCATTTTATCAAATTAAAAAAAAATTAACGTAATTATGAGAAAAACATCTCGATATTTCTGGGAGACTTTCAAGGTCATTTTGGCAAAGTAGTTGAGTACTTAGGAAATACTGAAGAGGATTTCAAAACAATTCTGATTTGGCTACAAAATTATGCCAATTCTTGAAAATTATTACCAGCTTAAGGGAATTGTGGAATCGGAGAGTGATTTATAAGAGATTACAAGATATAATGCTAAGATCTCTTAGAATGTTACTGAAACAGTTTGGATATTATTAAGATTATTTTAGGGGAATCCAGAAACGAAGTATGATGAAATTCTAGGATGATTCAAATGGAACTCTGAAAAAAGGACAAAGATATCCAGTGAAGAGTTCCAAGTAAATTCAGACTGATATGGGATACAGTAAAAACATAAATTCTAGAAATTAGAATCATTTCAATATCATGAGACTTCAAATATGACGCTTTCAGACTTTCATTTTAGTTATTTAATAAAACTTTTATTTGGCATAAAATTATTCGTCATAGTTATGCGTATAGTGGAGTTACCCGTAGTTTAGCTAAACTATTGGTGAGTACCACGATGTTTGGCTTTGATTCCCACTTCAGCCAGGTGAATTTCACTTTAAAATAAAATTGCCTACTGGTATACTGTGTGTAGTGTGTTGTATGATGTCAAGAATTAAATTGTAAGTCTGATAAACCTCAGGGTAATATTAGAATTGTTTAGAACAAATAAAATCTTTAAGACATATTCTGGTACTGCATCAAATAGTAAGGACTAAATCGACTATAAGTTTAAAAAATCCATCCCATCAAAGTTGTTCGATTCTTTGCTTCTCATTATTTTTAAAAATATTAAAGTTTAACAAACAATTCTAAAAATATGTTATGTAGTATTAAACCACTGTGCCCAATACTTTTCTTCACCTTTGGATGATTAAAGCAATGCTAACAAGTTATTTGCTTTATATAATTTATTTAAACATGTAATTCATAAACATTCTGGTACTTTGAATAAATTCCAGATGATCATACTGACCGATGTTTACGGGAGATTGGCACATCGCTTTGATTTCAATAGCAATATGTTAAAAACAGAATTTTTTGGAGCATTCCAGATTTTTCCAGATTTTATATTTCAACTGGTCCAGATTTTTCTGAAAATGACATGGCAACGCTGTTCACAACTATAGAACCAATTCATGAAAAGTCATTCGCTTCAGTTGCAGTCCAGTTTTCTTTCACCAATGATCGTGTTGTGACGCATTTGTGTAAGCTCTAAAATGCCACGTGGAACGTATTTGTCGGAACAAGAGAAAGGCAAAATTTTAGCTTATCGCCAAATGTGAGGATTCGAAAATTGAAAGGCTTTTCTTACATACAGCGACAAAAACTGAAGCAAGCTCCACGGCTTTTGCCTCGTCTTCAATTTGCACGAGACAAAATTCGTAGAGATTGACATAAAATATCCTCCATTATTTTGGAAACATGGCGATTGAAATAACCCTCACTACGACGCCGAAATGTAAAAATTGTTTATAGAGTTGGGAGGAAATCATATATATTATATTAACAATATGATCCACTCTTTCGCTTAGCTGGCGAACCGAATTTTTAACGATGAAAGCGCCTCTGTGGCCAAAAAGGCTACCAATGTATTTGTTTATGTTCACGAAGGGTAAACCAAATGAAAATTTGTAAAATAATTTAAATATTTGTATTTCAGCATTTATGTTGTTTTATGATAACAGTGAGACAGCAGACAAACTTTCATGTAATATACTAAATGTAATTAATGAAAATAATCTTGCTTTTATTTTTGTAATAAGTGCTCCCACCCCTCGATTCTAATTGTATGATTAGTCCCAGGGTTGCTGCCACTCACTTGCTATAAAAAGAATTTTCGGAATTTTGAATTCATTCGATGTTATAATGAAAATTTGAACCTGTTAGATACAAGAGATTGAAAAGCAAGTGTTTGACGCATAAAACGTTGTCTGAGTGTCTCAATCAGTTATTTTATGATTCATGAGCGTTCACTCAGAGTGAGTGCTCACGAGTCGCAAAATCGCTTATTGTGACTATCTGCAAGCAAATTTGACAGGTTTTATGTATCAAACACTTGTCTTTCAACCTCTTCTTGTATCTAACATGTACAAAATATCATTATAGCATCTAATGATTTCAAAATTCTGAAAATATGTTTTTTCAAGTGGAAGCAAGCCTGACCTTTTTCAACACTAGATGGTGCGTGAAGCAATATTTTTCGGATCACCATTGCAATGTGGGGAAAGGCATGATTGGATCATATATATTCTTAACTTCTAACATTCACTGCGATGTTCATGAACAGAGGATGATAGGAAATGGAACTAACATTCATTGTAATAGATTTTTGGTTTGCGTGTAGATAAAGTTCAGAAGAGGATAGATTGATACTTCCGCTAGAGTAACCTATCCTCTTCTTAACTTTGTCTAGCTAATAAATTATGGCACTAAAGCTTCATTTTGATATTAGTATAATATTTCCTCCCCACTCTAAAAATCGTAAACTTCACAAATGAAGTAACAAAACACTTTGATTGAATGTGTTATTTTTAATTTTATTTTATTTTAATCGAGTCATCAATTATAGCATCAAACAGATTATACATTCTTTTCGAAGACTGTGAATTGAATCAACTACCGACAAACAAACAAATCTTCATCCATTAGGCGATTTAAACATTCTCGTCAATCTAAGCAGCTCCGGTGCATTTATGGGAGATTATTTGCTTAACCAACAAACATTCTCAGATTAGAGATAAGGAAAACCGGGGCACGTTGAAACGGTTTATTCAAAGTTGAACTTTGAGGCTCTCTGGCAAAATCATGACGTAGCATAAACCGGACGTTTTTGCACCAACAGCTTCGTAAAAGGGTCTTCTATTATGAAAAAATATAGTTTAGATCCAACAAACTTACTTATTTATGAGTGTACAAATATGGTGTGTGTTGTTTCATCTGTGGGCTGAGTAGACAGAGTAAGTATCCCCCGATTAACGCGATGGTTAGTTTAGTCCAAACAGAAATATCACCATGCAATGATAATGAAATTATCATACATTCTATTGTTGTCAGTTCACCAAATTATAAATAAATTGACTTGATCAAATGATCATACAATTACCTCAATTATTTACAACATACTCTATGGGTTTAAAATTAATGTATGTATTATCGTAAATTGCAACAATAGGAAAGTATTAAAATTCATGGAGCAAAATCTCTAAACAGCTGCTACGGAACAGCTTATACAGTCAAATCTTACTGTATACAGTTGAAAACAAGTTTAATAAGCTTTTAAACAGCTAAATTAATCGGTGTATTTAATTTGATGGTGAGAAAAGGAGATGGTAATTTTAAGGCTGTGGTATTTTAAAGCAGCTGTGGCTATCTTTCACCACATTGAAGTGATTTCTTGAATGGGATATTCACCATTTCAACTTGCCCCCAAAATGTGGGGCAAGTTGAAATGGTTGAAATTTTGAGGATGTTGAGCAATTTTTTTGAGAAATGCGTGAAAAATGTGTGTTGTAAATTGCATATGACATTTAAATAAACAAGGCTAAGACACACGCTAAGCTGTTTGACTTACCCCGCAGTTGAACTTGCTCCAGTGTACCTTACATTAAATCAGTAGAAGCAATTAGACTGATTGATAAATGTTGTTTTTTCATAATTTACTCAGGGCATCCGTTTTAGCCCGTCTTCTCCAAACAATATGTGACACACAAATCCACACCACACAAATACATTTGTAGTGTGACAAGAATTATGCAACACATTCTCTCTATTCCTCCAATGCCCAGCAATCGAGCCAAAGAGATTATTGCTATACTTACTTATAGTATTTATGCAAAGCAATCAGACCTGCGCACACCTTCGACCGTTGGTAATGTTTAAAATCACACAGTAAAACACACTTCAATTGAGATTCTTCTGTAAATATTAATATCAAAAAAAAACTTTTTAGGACAACATTAACAGCTTTCAAACCAACCGGCAGACAAATCTCACTTAACTAGCTTATCAGTTCAGTTTGTTTGGAAGATACGAAGTTGCGATCGAGGCCAAAAAAAAGGTGCAACAAAACATTTGTCACACAAAGGGAAGAGAACTATACTTCGGCATAAGCGCCCATATCCGTCATTTCAAGTAGAAACATCAAATAATATCAATGATTTCGACCTAAACGAATCAATCATACTTTTGCATACGATAGTTTAGTTCTAAAGATAAAGATAAATTAATTAATTAATTAGTTCTAAAGATGCAATACAAAGTCTATTAGATCGCGTAATATGAGTATTTACAACTTTTCTTCTCAAAAACAAAAGCAGCACTCCTGGTGAATCCATTTTTCTGCCTTCATCCTAATGCCGAAGAGAATTCAATGACGTTTCAATGTGTTTGTACGGAATTGAAACTCTTTCGACGGAATTTTAATCAAGATTTAATATTATATGTTTAACAATCACTCGACAATTTGTGACTCTTTATCAATATTTACGACACGTATGGAGAGGTACCGTTCCGATTCAAATTTCGGACGATTCAAATTTCGGACACTTTCATTTTTAATTAAATATTACATCCAGTTAGAAACAAAGTAATAATGTTAGATGATCGTGGAGGGCACTAGTCAAAAAAAATTAAAATTTACAAGACATGTGGATCATATTCGACCGAGATAATCAACTTTTAAAAGTGTCCGAAATTCGAGTTTAAGTGTCCGAAATTTGAATCGGCACGGTACATAAATTTAAAAGTCATCTTTGCTAGAAACATGGCATTTTCTGATTACAAGTTTGAAAAAGTAAGGTAAAGTGAGGGATGTGCTTAATATGACAGAAATTACATCTTAACCCTAAGACACCAAATGTTTCATGTCTTTGATACACGCATGCTCCAAGCGATCTGCTTGTACCTTCAGAATCTTAAGAAACATAAATTCTCGATTAATTTAGCGTGCACGTTTCTAATCAATTGTAGCAATTAAAGACATCTACATACATAGCCAGTAAATCATAAAAATGCAGAATAAATGGAACAGGTTCCCATTATACGCCCAATCAGTTTTGGAGCGATCATGACAGAAACCTGATTGTGGGACGGAGTAAATTGGAGGCTTGTTTCCCTCCAAGGAAATCCGATACTTTTCTTTTGGGTTCAGATAATACAACTTTTGCTTCATTTTGGTGCAAAACTAGTTTAAGGTCGCACTGTGATCGCCACTGGGAACATGAGAAGACAGTCAGTGACCGCGCGTCGCCTCAATGCCAAACGATGGCATGCAGTAGTATGAATGAACCAAAATAAACTGCGTCACTATGTTACAAGTGATAGTAACAGGGGGCTTGCGAGGACATCGATCCCTGTCTGACGAATACATATGGATTATGAGAGAAAGTGAAACACACCCCTCAAGGATGGCTGCAATTTTGGAGATTTTTTAGCAAAAATAGGAGCACTATAAATACAGATGTTCGGGATTCTGAAAACCATTATCAGTTCACGAGAGCATCGTTTAACATTACAGCAACACAAAATGGCATTCAAAGTAAGATTTAGGCCAATTTTGAAGCATAATATTTGATCTAATATTTTCCCATTTTCCAATTTATTTCATCAGTTTGTCCTTTTGGCGACACTGCTCGCTGCCGCTAACGCTGGAGTCATTGCTCCACACGGTTATGCCTCTTCTCACCAATCGATCCAACATCACCATGCTGCTCCAGTCCATCATGTTGCCTCTGTTCACGCCGCTCCCGTTCATCACGTGGCAGCCATTCACGCTGCTCCAGTTCATCACACCATCGTGAAGGAAGTCGAGCACCACGCTCCAGCCAACTACGAGTTCTCCTACTCTGTCCATGATGAGCACACCGGAGACATCAAGAGCCAGCACGAGACCCGTCACGGAGACGAAGTCCATGGACAGTACAGTCTGATCGATTCCGATGGCCACCACCGCATTGTTGACTACCACGCCGATCATCATTCTGGATTCAACGCCGTTGTCCGTCGTGAACCAACCCACGTGAAGGTGGCTCAACCTGTGCACAAGGTCATTGCCCAGCCAGTGCATATTGCAAGCCACGCAGCTCCAGTTCATCATGCTACCATCTCGCACCACCATGCTGCTCCAGCTGCCTACGTTTCCCACCACCATGCTGCTCCAGTTGTACACACCCAAACCACCCACCATGTTGCTCCAGTAGCCCATGCTACCATCTCGCACGTTGCCCCGATTGCCCACTACAGCCATCACGATGGACATCATGCTAACAACCACTATAGCCATTACTAGACAGATGTAGACTATAGCTAGCTAAAGGACCTGATTATGTAACATAGTGAAATGCTGTTAGAATAAAAGTACAAGTTGATATATTGTAAAAAACGATGGTTATAGAATTTGGCGGCGAGTTTATTTGATCAAAACACCACCTTTCAATAAGGCTTAATGAAGGAATTTTAGATGTGCAGGACCTGCTGCGTTTGAAAAAAATGGAACCGAATTTTGCTATCGACACATCGTTTCAGTTGTGAAGTTGTACAGATTCGAGTTAATTACCTGGCAATGTGCATCAATGTGCTGCCAATATCCTTTTGAAACTATCAGATACTTCGCTAGCCACTGATTAGAACTAACGCTTCCATAACGCTATCATCGGTCTTCAAAGATTATTCAACAGAGTTGCATCTGTATTTGACTTTCACTGGTCACGTGAGTTATTGCGACGGAAATTAAGTGCTTTATTTTCTTGGAGTACGAATCGTAACGAGTACTTGTTACTGCTAAATAACTAAATTAATCAATAAAATGTATAAAGCAAAGATATTTTTACCATTGCTAAAACCATGAAAAAATTAAGAGAATTTTTTGCATAATGCGTTTGAATATCCATTACACATAATTTCAAAACTGGAGTTAAACCTTATGTGAAATACTTAAGAAAATTTATTTTGGATTTGGGATTTTTTGTTACTATCGGTCAACGCTAGTTAGATTTAAACCGCTGCTCGTTTTCCATGGATTTATTAGTATTGTAAGCAGTCACGGTAGTCGACACATTTTCTGTGATAATCGACTGCTTTTGCCTCCGACACTTGGAAAACAAGCTATCATAGTACAGTACCAAACTCAAATGTCATACGACAGGCTCTGAAGACCGTTACGAATGTATGTATTTTAGTTTTTCTCATAATAAGAGCTGCTGATGTTGTGCTTGTGTGAATTCTGAAAATAGCAAGCAATGATATCCTAGGAATAACATTTCTGATCAGAAATGGTTTAATTTACACCAAATTGAGGAATTAGAACGAAATTACTCATGTCATATGATAGTTATTTGATAATTTTCTTTTCCCTCGAATGTTATTCTACCGGTTGTGAGAGAGACGACGGTAGAGCATGAGTGTAGGAATAAAACCAGACTGTTGCGCACGACAACGAAGCGAGTGTAGTAAAAAACGTCCACTGTTTCAACCCCTGGGTGTGTCACAGACGTGACACTCGCTACTGCACAGTGAGCAGCTGTGCAGGGCCTTCCTCTATTGTTCGCTGTTGATTGTTCGCCTGAGTTTTAGAGCAGACGTGATAGCCAGCCAACTGTCCACGGCAGGACAGGACAGATGTGACCGCTTACCAGCTGCGTGTGTTGTGACTTGGTCAGAGTCGTCTACACTCTAAGAACCCGGTGTCAGTCCTGCCTTTGCACAACGAGGGTTTGTGCAGGGCTTATCGACCTCCTGGGACGAGCTGGATGGGGCTCCAGCGTCCTTACTCTGCTGTAGTTCGTTTAGCCGCAATATCTCTCCCTTGGGTTCGATAATTAACGTTTCCAGGGCACACCACGAGGAGGCGAACTACTTCATGCCCCAGGCCTGCTGAGGTGTGAGATAATCACGCTTACCACTACACTACCGGCGCCGCTACCGTCCCTGATACTTACAGAAATATTTAAGGAGATTGACAATTAAAAAAATGAAAAAATTGCATTTCAAAACATAATGCAAGGTCGGGACCTTGGAATACTTTTGAAAGATTTAAGAGTTTAAATTGTATCCATGGTCTGGAACTTCGATGAAGCATGTTAAGCATGTTGAGAAAAAATACAAAGGAATTTTTAGGAACATTGAAAATCAACATCCTTTTCTCGGCCTTATTTCTTGGCAGTAGTAGCAGTGGCAAATTAGTATAACGGGTAATAACTAAAAAATAAGAATAGCTTCATTAAACTCTCTCATACCAAACCACAAATGTCCACAAAAAGGAGACAGCTTATGGAAAGCAATGCTCTCTCTCTCTCTCTTTCTCCTCAAAAGTGTACATCTTTTTATTTTTAAATGCTCATTTGTGTTCAAAATGGCATCAAAACGAGAAGCATTTCGAAAGCGCATCGTACAGTTCTTCAAAACACACGAAAATCGTGGGAAAAAAGTTTACGGTGGATCATTTCAAACCAAAGAATGTGCCAATGTCTACTGTTTATCGTATTATGTCATCCTTGGCAACAGTTCGGAAGAGGGATAGCGGAAAACCAGCCAAAATAATGAACAAACAAGGACTTCGATCGCTACACAATACATTCAACAACAAAGATTCGATAAGTCAGTGGGACGCCGTGAAAAAATTTAAGTGCACGCAACCTCACATCTGTAAAAAGTTGAAAAGGATAGGAATAGTTTGTCGAAAGAAATCAAGAGCTCCAAAATACACCGATCACCAAATTTCGAACGTGAAAACCCATTGCCGTTGGATGACAAGAAAATACCCAGGAAAATGTCTCGTTTTGGATGATGAAAGTAACTTTGCTCTATCAAAATCTCAATTTTTTTTTTTTTTTTTTTTCTTGAGTTGTTTTCCGTCGATCTTGTTTTACGTGCTAAGCACCAATGCTACCGATGCCAGAGAGGCACCTCCAACTCCTGGACCCTACCTATCGACCCATCAACTCATGAACCGAGTACCAACGGCTTTACTTCCCTTCCGAAGGAAAGTGTGATGCCTCAGAACATCCCGGCGGCGCCGACTGGGATTGAACCCAGGCCTGATGGGGTGAGAGGTAATCACGCTTACCACTACACCATTCGCCATATCGGAGAGAGGAATTTCTAAGCCATGGTTCAAACCTAGCGGTTTCGATATCAACCAAGAAGTGTACCAAAATCAATGTTTGAAGAAAATATTGATTCCATTTCTTTAAAAATATCACGCAGACGGAAACTACGTGTTTTGACCGGATAAAGCATCATCGCATTATACTAAGAAAACATTAACCCTGGAAAATTAAAATATCCCATTTGTTCCAAGACCGCAATCCAACAAACTTGCCTCAGTGTAGCCCAATTGAAGATTTTTTTGGAAATATGAGTTCGTTGGTGTACAAAAACAATTGGAGGGCCAAGAATTGTAATCAGCTGATAAACCGAATAAAAAGTTGCATTCGTAAAATTGATTTAAATGCTGTACAACGCTCATGTTCTCGCATCATGACAAAGCTTCGTCAAACAGCTGATAACGGACCTTATTCAAATGATCATAGATTTTTTTTGAAACATGTCGTAGCTTCAATTGAAATATATCACTTTATCTTTTCTCGAACATGAGTTGTTTCATAAACCCAAATGAAAATCTCATTTTTTAGTTATCGCCCGTTATGTATACAAGCACACAATTTCTTGTAGAATTTCACCACCATAAGCAACTGAAATCCAGTTGTTGAATATTATCACAATAATGAAAAAAAAACATCTAAGAAATCTTAAACATTATTCCAAAGCAATTATTTATTTTAGTTTATTTTTAGCGCTTTGTTTGAGATGTTGGTATATTCAAATAATGTAATTGTCTCAGTCTATGTCCCCGAATATGGAACAGTGATTGGCAGTGATTTGCATTAACATTTATTATTGAACTACATGACCTAAGTAACGACTCTTCGTACTATTGATCAACTGCACTTGGGATCGAAATGACGACTGTGACAAAGTTGTTGAGAAAAATAAAGTCTTTCTGGGACCCAGTTTTTTTTTTATTTTGAGTGAACATTTTTAAACGCGTTTTAAATTTAAAAGTATTTAAACTTCATTTTTTTATATTTTTGATTTGAAAAGCTCATGAAAAATTAAAACTTTTGAAATATTTAAAACTATGGACATTTGAAAATTTACAAAACTCGTAGAACATCAACTGTTGGTCAAATTTTGAAACTTCTTGTTAGCAAGCATTTTTATTAAATTTTTACTCAGAAATATATGTTTTTATATAATGTTCCTCGGAATCTTCAATATTTTCCTGAGTATGAAATTGAAGTACCATTTTTTTTTAGTTTTTCCAGGCTTAATGAATCCAAAATTTGAAATTCGCTGTATATTTTAATTTTCGTTAGTCATGATTGTGCAAGCTTGAGAACTAAAAAAATCTAAGTCTCAAATCATAACAATTTTCGTATCTATGAAACTTTGCTTATTAGAAACGCCTTAGAATCTTGAGGTGTGTTCCAAGTCCGAAACATTGAAAAAAAAAATTAAAAAATGGTTTTAGATCGATGTGAACCTTTTCAAATGTTTCAGAACTATTATTATAAAATAACTTAACTTAAAAAATAATCAAATCTCGCGTAACATTTGAAAAGTGCCTATCCTTGTTGATCGATTATCTTCATCGATTTTTTCTTTGATTTACCACGGCAACATAAACGAATTTCTCGATAAGCTCGCAGCACAGTTCGACAGAAGATGCTGTTAGCTTGCGGCTGAATCGACACACTGAATGGGAAATTTATTTGAAGTCAGGTTATTCGCTTAAGAGAAAATCGATGAAGAGATTCGATCAACTCAATGATAGGCCCTTTTCTCGTGTTGCACGAGAAATAATGAAAATTTTACCAATTGCGGAATCTTAAAATAGTTTAGCATACTAATCATTATTTTTCTTAGTCTAAGATCTCACAAATTCGTCAAAGTTCCAAAATATTGAAAATATATCTAGGTCATATGTTTTCATGTCCCAAATTTTAAAACAAAAACAAATAAATCATAGTTTTTACCCGTTTATATAAATTTGCAATTAATAGTATGAAAATTAAAAACTAACTGCATCTATGAAAAAAAACAGCAAAAATCTAAGGAGATGTCTGAAAAAATCCATAAGATAACCGACCTTCTCTAAATTTCGCTGCATTTTCCTGTAATCTAAAAATCTTATTTTAAATTCAGGAAGTTTTTTTAAAAAAAAGTCTTGATCCAGGATTGAGGGAAAAAACACAGGGTTCTAACAAAAAATGCTTGAAACATGGCCTAAAATGTTTAAATATACTGGCATCGAGGATAAAATGGCTGTACAGTAGAAGCTCTTTATAACGACCATCTGTATAGTGACAAATCTCTCTGTAA